ATGCATATTCCACGATTGTGTAATACAATTCCCTTTGCACATCTATACTATAGTGTAATACAATTCCCTTTGCACATCTATACTATATATAATAACAAAGTCCTGGAATTTTAACTTCCAGCCCAATTCCTAAAAAATCTCTCTTCTCAATAAAATATATTGATTTCTACTTTCCCATTCGTACAATAATTCTGGGTAAAAATTCTATTCTAAAATTTCAAAATAGTGTAATACAATTCCCTTTGCACATCTATACTATATATAATAACAAAATCCTGAAATTTTAACTTTCCGCCCAATTCCTAAAAAATCTCTCTTCCCAATAAAATATATTGATTTCTACTTTACCATTCGTACAATAATTCTGGGTAAAAATTCTATTCTAAAATTTTAAAATAGTGTAATACAATTCCCTTTGCACATCTATACTATATCTACTATACTAATAAGAGCCCAAGAGAGTTAGGCCTATAATGGGTAGAAAAAATGGCGGTCACAGATTTTAATCAAATGAATGGCTCAGATTGATTAAAAGATTGATCAGATTTAAATTTTACACTAAAATTTCCTAAAATACCCACAAACCATTACTAATTCCGTTAAAATTTTAAGAATTGCCGTTAGTTCACCGTTAACTTACTCATTGATTTCAATAAAAAAAAAAAAAAAAAAAAAAAAAAAGTCTTAGGTTCGAACCTCATCCCAATCAAAGTTGGCATAATTAGTACTCTATTTTACTCTTATTAAATTATATAAATAATAATTTAGTAGTTACAACAAAAAATAATACATATGCATTTTTTTAATTTAGAATTATGTGTCCACAATATCTTTATTCCAAAAAAAAAAAATTATTCATTATCAATAAATTAAATAAGATAAATAATTTTATTAGTTATATTGTCTTTATTTTTCTTCAATATAAAAATTCTTTATATTCAAATTTATTAATTGATTATATTCAAATCACACAACAAATTGAAGTGAGAACTACCTCGCAATGTCCTTGTTTGATAATCAGCAGTTAGCGGATTTATACTAGCGAATTTGACCAGCGAATTTATTTAATTATTAACATTGGGTAGAAAAAATAACCGCCAAATTATTAAATCAAATGAATGGTTCATATTGTTCAGGTTTTAATTTTGTTCTTTTAAGATTTTCTAATTTATACTTAATTATATGATTATCCATTTAACTTTTCCGTTAATTCACCGTTAGTCTAATTCTAATATTAAAGTCTAATATAGAATTATAACTACACCATTAATCTAATTCTAATATTAAAGTCTTAATAGAACTTAACCACAAATCCTAATGTCGGAATCTCCTCAAACAATATTAGTATATATTTAATATTTTATGCCCTAATTTTTATTTGTTCTCTCTTATGTCCCGTATTTGGTTTCAACCATACCTATACAATTATTTTATTGACAATTATAATCAATATTGACTATATTATCTTGCATTTGTAAACTTAGAATTACCTATTTAACCCGCACGGGCATAGCTCAATGGTTTAGTGGTAAAAAGATATTTGAAAATATTAGATGTTTAGATTAAAATATAAAATGACCTAAGGGTATACATATAACAATAATAATAATAATAATAATAATAATAATAATAATAATAATAATAATAATAATAATAATTGTTTTAAAAAATATAAAAATATAATTAAGTCAATCATATTAACTACTTGGGGATTTATTGACAAAAAGAGTATTCAAATCACACAACAAAATAAAGTAAGAAACTATCCCGCAATGTCCTTGTTTGGCAATCAACAGTTAGCTCTTCAATATTAGTATATATTTAATATTTTATACCCTAATTTTTATTTGCTCTCTCTAGCTTATGTCCCGTATTTGGTTTTAACCATACTTATGCAATTATTTTATTGACAATTATAATCAATCTTAACTATATTATCTTCCATTTGTAAACTTAGAATTGCATGTTTAAATACGCAAATTTAACATTTAATTATCTATACATGAACAATTTCAATATAATCTTGCCTTAATATACTTTAAAGTACTTATTTTTTTAAAAAGAAGCTTTGGGCATTATCCCAGTCGCGCAATGCGCGTAAAAAACTAGTATAATAACAAAATCCTGAAATTTTAACTTCCCGCCCAATTCCTAAAAAATATCTCTTCCCAATAAAATATATTGATTTCTACTTTCCCATTCGTACAATAATTATGGGTAAAAATTCTATTCTAAAATTTCAAAATAGTGTAATACAATTCCCTTTGCACATCTATACTATATATAATAACAAAATTCTGAAATTTTAACTTCCCGCCCAATTCCTAAAAAATCTCTCTTCCCAATAAAATATATTGATTTCTACTTTCCCATTCGTACAATAATTCTGGGTAAAAATTCTATTCTAAAATTTTAAAATAGTGTAATACAATTGTCTTTGCACATCTATCTATACTATATATAATAACAAGATCCTGAAATTTTAACTTCCCGCCCAATTCATAAAAAATCTCTCTTCCCAATAAAATATATTGATTTCTACTTTCCCATTCGTACAATAATTCTGGGTAAAAATTCTATTCTAAAATTTCAAAATAGTGTAATACAATTCCCTTTGCACATCTATACTATAGTGTAATTCTCCATGTATGTATGTATGTATGTAAGTATGTATGTATGTTTGTATGTATGTATGTATGAATGTATGTATGTATGCTACATCTCTTGGTCAGAGTTGAAGTCGTGTAATTCAAACTAATTACTCAATTGAATAAAATAAATTTTAACATATACCATGTACACATTTTTACTAAGGTATATATATATATATATATATATATATATATATATATATATATATATATATATATATATATGTATGTGTGTGTGTGTGTGTGTGTGTGTGTGTGTGTGTGTGTCTGTGTGTGTGTTTGTGTGTGTGTGTATACTACATCTTTTGATCATAGTTTCTTATCAAATCAGTACACAAACACAATACTCAATACTTCGTTTTCCTCATCTACCTAAATATAAAACCGATACACAATACTGCATCATACAGTTGAAATACCATGGATTCTAATAAGCTATATGCCTTAGGTTAATGCGGTGCTATTTTTCTATAGAATATCAACGCACGCCATTGAACCACCAAACTTTGGAATGCTTATTCCATGATTATAAGGTATGTATTGAATTTATAATTTATTTACACCATAGTTTTCTCTTTTATTCAATATATATTTATAAGTTGTAATTAATCAATGTTTCCCGTATGGAATATGCATACATCTACAAATTCCAAAAGAATATGTGGACAAATTTGCTACTGTTTTGATCGAAGGGAAAGTGTATGTCATTCAGAATTTCATTGTGCACACATCTCACTTGAGGTTTAAGACGTGCCAGCACAAATTCATTATGAGAACAAACAGTTACACAATTATTAAAGTCTAGGATCAAGATGATTCAATTTGTCCTAAAAACATGTTTAAATTTAAGGATTTTGGGTCCTTGAAGGCTCCAGGGGGTGTTGATTGTAACGAATTAATTGGTAAGATCATTGCAATAACTTTTTTACATATTATTATTTTTATTACTCTTTCATATTAGTCTATGTCATTTCTTTTTTTCAATCTTCCGATTATATTTGTTTCCACAGATTTGATTGGTCGTGTAGGTTCGATTTATGAGCCTAAAGTTATTCAAGTTCATCAAAAACCTCAAAGGTTGATTGATTTCGTCATTGAGGATTGTCGGTATGTATTTTTGTATAATTGTTATGTCTTCTTTATTTGTAGAAATAAATATATACCCTTCAATACGAAATCAATTTTTGTTAATTCAGGGAAAGTCGATTGAGCATAACCCTGTGGGACGAACATGTGGATTCAGCGTTGCCGTTCTATGATGTTGTTTTAACAGATCCATTGATTGTTATACTACAACTATGTAGAGCAAGGTGGACTGATAGTGAGTAATAACACAACGGTAGATTTTACTTTCTTTCTGTCAAATATACTTATTTAAAACTGTTTTTTATATTAGATGGTGAGGTCAAGATTTCCAGTTCCTATACGGCAACTAAGATTTTGTTCAACTACGAATGCCCTAAGTATTTCAGTTTTAAGGAGAGGTATGGACACATTTCACTTTTGTAACGCCATATAATATGTAATCGATAACATCTTCAACGATTACAACATATTTGTTTTAAAGAGTTTGCCTAGGTTCTTTACTCCTATGCGTAGTATAAGTTCAAGTTCTAGACTCATTGGAAGTGGTTCAGTTGGAGCTATGTCGAATCATAATCATTTATACTAAATTTTTAAATGATTCATTTTAATGTTCAACAGATGATTTGATGTGTTTGAAATAAAATTTGTAGGTTGGACAATTTTGGGTGTTTGGACAAATTCGTGATATTCAGCAGGATTGGTATTTCACTTCATGTAGGAATAAGAACTGTGGGAAGAAATTTCAACAAAATGAGGACAAAATGTATTGTAAGCCATGTAACAAACAGTGGTCAAATGGAATCATAAAATATAAATTGGTGATTGATATCCTTGATGATGATCAAGATGGTGAACTAATACTTTGGGATAATGTGTGTACGCCTCTACTAGGAGTCACTGCTAGTGAGTTGAAGGTGAAATATTCTAAGGTTAGTCAAATCACCACTTTGTTTTTTACAATGGTAATAATTTTATCAGTTTTATAATTTCTACATTAATGTTTATTTGATTCACATAGGAGGAACAGGAAAGACGTTCTTCTGGAGAACATTATCTTCAAAGATAAGGACCCTCGGAGATATTGTTCTGAACGTTGCTTCAAGTGGAATAGCATCTTTACTATTGCCAGGTGGCAGGACAACGCATTCTCGATTTGCTATACCACTCTTAGTGAATGAAGATTCCACCTGCAATATCTCGTAAGGCAGTGACCTTTGCAAACTTAAAATCAAGTGCAAATTGATAATATGGGATGAAGCACCGATGACACACAAATACTGTTTTGAGGCTTTAGACAAAACCATGAGGGATATATTGAGATTCACCGTACCTGGTAGTGATCAGAAAACATTTGGTGGAAAGACAGTAGTATTAGGCGGTGATTTTAGGCAGATTCTTCCAGTTATTCCAAAAGTAACGAGACCAATGATTGTATGAGCCACTATTTATTCTTCATACCTCTAGATGAATTGCAAGGTATTGAGGCTCACGAAGAACTTGAGACTACAGAGCTTAGCTTCAAACGAAGATAGACAGGCGGTTGATTGGTTCTTAAGATGGATTGCAGACATCGAAGATGGGATTACTGGGTTTGTAAACAATGGCTTGTTTGAGATCGATATTCCACCAAGGTTTATGTTGAAGTGTGGACCTGATCCAATTGCAACTATAGTTGAAAGCATCTTCCCAACGACGAAGTATGGAATGCTAGAAGAGTCGCACCTAGAAGGACGAGCGATCCTCTCACCGACTTTAGATGTTGTTGATCAAATTAATCTGTATATGTGTGATATGAACACTGCAAAAGGTCGGACGTATTTAAGCTGTGACTCTTTGTGTAAGGCAGAATCAGATGGTGATAATCTCTCACAAGTACATACTCCTGAATTTTTAAATAGCTTGAGATTGTCTGGACTTCCTAATCATTCATTGACGATAAAGGTTGGTGCACCTATTATGTTACTGCGGAACATAGACCACTCTCTTGGTCTTTGTAACGGTATGTGCCTCATCGTTACAAAATTTGCGGATCATATTGTCGAAGCAAGAATAGTTAATGGAACGCAGCAAGGAACCGAAGTTCTTATACCACGAATGTCTCTCACCCCTTCTGATACGAGATTGCCGTTCAAGTTCCAGTGTAAATAATTCCCGTTGATGCTAGCATATGCAATGACTATAAATAAAAGCTAGGGTCAAACACTAACTCAGGTTGGCTTATTGTTGAAAAAACCAATTTTTAATCACAGTCAATTGTACGTGACTTTTTCCCGAGTCACTCATCCTGATGGCCTTAAGGTTTTAGGTCTAGTCGAGGATGGAGACACTTCTGTTACTACTACTAATGTCGTCTACAAAGAGGTTTTCAACAATGTGTAATTCTAAATAGTAATATTATCTATTATGCGTGCACCAATATAAAAAAATTGTTACATATCTACATATTACGTATATATTCCGTTACAAAAATTTCTATAACTAAATTACTACACATAAAGATAATTAGACCAATTAATTCAATTTCAAAACATTCATACAAACCTTAATTCAACGTCAAAATTTACACTGTCGAATATGAAACAAATTATAATTCATATAGTATAACAAATATATTCCATACATCACACGGGTGCAAACACTAGTTATTATTATTATTCATATTTAAATTTTGCATGTTTTACCCTTTTACCCCTTTTTTAAAAATCAGATCCATAATTATGTTTGTTTCTTGGATCAATCTCTGTCATCCGAAGCCATTAATCCTATGATCTTAATTTGTCCACAGTTTGTATTTTAAGGGTGTTGGCATGTGAATGCAACTATATATATATATATATATATATATATATATATATATATATATATATATATATATATATATATATATATATATATATATATATATATATTACGGCATTGAGTGGTTTATACTTAGTGTTTCATGCTAACGGGTTATTTTTCATGTGTTTTAAAAAAACCCCTTTTAGGTTAGGATTGATGTATGCCGAGAGCCTGTCTAGAGGAGTTAGTATAGTAGTACTTTTTGTTGTAGCTCCTAGTTTTAGTTCCTTCATGTTGCTTAGTATTATGTTGATGTGGGTTTGAGACTTTGTAGCATACTTAATGTTTGACTTTGGGTTTTGTTTGGTGCTAGGACTTCAGAGTTTGTGAACCCTTGGCACTTGATGTTGCCTATATTTTGGATAATAGTGGTTTAGCCAGGTGGTCATCTTTATGTGGATGACTACAGCAGTAGCACCCCTTTTTATGCATGGGTTAGATATTTAATGCTAAAGTCCCTATTTCTTTATCATAAGAATATGATTTATGCTAGGCTCGAATGGTAGATTTTGGGGGTGTTACATTAACTCTCATAAAAAAAAATAAAAAAAAAACATTAAAAAAAAAACTAAAAAAAAATTAAAAAAAAAAAAAACTAAAAACAAAACTTGAGAAAATTTTCCCGAATAGGATGATTGAAACTCGATTGAATTAATTTTATTTTGCGAGAAAAAAGTTTAGAGAGTGTATAGTTCAAAAGATGTTTTGAGAATGTAATGTTTTTTAATAGAGCTGTTAAACGGGCTGGTGGGGCGAGGCCGCCTGGGTCCGTTAAAGCCCACCAAAATACGGGCCTAAAATAACACGACCGGCCCGGCCCCGCCTTAGGCCCACAGGCCTTGGTGGAGCCCGCCAAATTTAAAAAGTTTTAAATTTAAATAAAATTAATATGAAAACGTTAATAAGTGTATACTAAAATAATTTAAATAGTTTAAAGATATGTTAATACATTTGTAATTTGTTGAACACAATAATAACTAATATAGCAACTAGTCCTAATGATGAATTAACTTTAACAGAAATCTGTTTTAAGGGTAAAAGCGAGAGATGGAAGGATTGGAAAACCTCTCTTCCCAACGATCGCCAGAAGATCTTGATCTTCTTGAGCGCAGTACGAAGAACCCTAAGCGGCATCCAGCGATGCCTGCTGCGCATGCGACGATGGTAAGCCTGGAGATCCAGATGACGGATGAGGTGGAGATTGTGCATGAGACGCCCCTCGATGCGATGGTGGAGGCCGATGCGGGAACCTCATCGACGAACCAGCAAGTGGTGGAGATGGCGTCACCGATGGTGGTGCCGGCGACGATCCAGGAGCCAGTGGCGCCACGACGTACGTATGCGGAGAGCGCGACAGGACGAAGCGCGGCTGCCCAGGAACAACAGCCAGTTGTGCTAGATCAGACGGACGAACGCGATGAGATCGTCGCATAGGAGAACGATGATCCCCTGTGTCCTACTATCAGGCTGACTAAGAAAGAATTGGAGGCGATCCGAGCCCCGTGGCGAAAGTCGCCCATCATCAAAGTGATGGGGGCGTAGAGTGGGTTACGCATACCTGCTGCGGCGCCTGACATCCATGTGGAAGCCCAAAGGAAGTTTGGACCTGATTGCGCTGGACAATGACTACTTCCTTGTGCGGATTGGATCAATCGAGGACATGAAGTTTGCGATGTACGAGGGCCCATGGATGGTTTTAGATCATTATTTGATCGTGAAGCCTTGGGAACCGGATTTTGATCCAATGAACGATACCACAGAGAAACTGCTTGTCTGGGTAAGAATTCCATGTATACCTGTGGAGTATTATGATCTTATTTTTCTTAAGAAACTCGGGAATCGCATTAGAAGGACAGTCCGAGACGACCAAGCCACCAGCCTTGTTTCCCGTGGGAAGTTTACTCGGATATGTATCGAGATTGATATGAGAAAGCCTTTGATTTCAAAGTTCACGTACAAGGAGAAGGTAAGGCAAGTGGCGTATGAAGGCATACACCTGGTATGTTTCTCTTGTGGTCTTTATGGACATGCAAAGGATGCATGCCCTTTGCGTCGTAAGCCGACAGCTGAGCAAGGCGACGGCTTGGCGGTTGCAGAGGCAACTCCAATTGCAGCCGACGGCGAGCAGGTTTCCACTACGACGAAGGAGGCTGCGGATCCTACGATCCCTTTTGGGGTTTGAATGATTGCTCCCAAATGGAGCGGGAGGCCGCCGTCGAAGCCAGTACACCGGAACTCGCGACAGGTGACGGGTCAAGGGGAAAGAACTAGACCCGCAAATGGAGCACCAATCTAAGCTTCTAGGTTTGCGCCACTGGCAGAAGCTGAGATCGAGGTGGCCGCGGGAGAGACGAGGACGGAAAACGTTGAGAAACAGGGAGGGATGAGTAACCATAACCGGCGGCACAAGTAGAGGAGCTGTGCGAAATGGGCAGTCGCAGGTAGATGGGGGAGAAAGAAGTAGAAGTCCGAATGTCATAGCCAATGAAATGCAAATTGTGAATGAACCTGCGGCGGCGACTCAGGAGGTACAATCCAGATAAGGGGTGTCTCTACCCAGGGAACGACGGGTCAATGGTGAGGGTTCGAGGAGGACAGCGGAAGAGGAGGAACACGTTGTTGTTCGGGGCTCACAAGGAGGCTTGGTGATCAGGTCATCGCGGGTGTTTGTAGGAGACAATCGTGGCAACGTCCCATCGCCGGTCTGGCAGCCCTCAACGGAACACCATGGGGATCCGCCAGGGCAGTTTGACGATGAGGGAGAAGTGGTGATGGACCTTGAAATGGTCCCTATTAATAAGTGTTATTATTTAATGTTATATTTGTTGTATACTATAGTTAATAATTATGTGGTGTTAGTTTAGTTGACTAAGGCTAGTCTATTAGTTAGGAGAGTTTAGCGTTTCTTATCTGTTATACTATTGTAATCTCTATCAGTTGTAACTGAATTGAATTACTATCTCTAATCTGGTATCAAATAGGTTATCGATCATGTCTCTCTCTCCACCGTAAACAGCTCACCCTCAATGCAAAAACACTCGCAATGTCGAGCAATTCGTCGGAAAGAACGGTCTCTGCCACTAACACTCCCTCTCCGATCGCCCCGAACCCTCTTGCTTCAGCCCACCACTACGTTTCTATGAAGATTACATCAAGAAATTTCTTGTTCTTGCGTACGTAGCTCATCCGATTCTTACGGGGTCAGGATCTCCTTGGATTCGTCGACGGCAGCACACCGTGCCCACCACCTACCGTCGACATAGTTTCTTCTTCCGGTGACTCAGCATCTGGTGCGACTGCTGCGGTTCCTCTCCCCAATCCGGAGTACAAGGTGTGGGTGCAGCAGGATCAATCGATCATCTCACTCCTCATCTCCTCAATGTCCGATGAGGTCTTGCATTTGGCCGTCGGCCGGAATACCACCGCAGAGGTATGGCGTTCCATCAACACGGCTCTCGGGTCCTCCACATGCGCACGGTGCCTAAACTTACTCGGGCAGTTCCAATCGCTTCGCCAAGGTAACGCATCGCTAGCTGATTATTTGGGGCGAGCAGAACTCATCGTGGAGGCTCTTGCGCATGCCAGCCAGCCACTCTCCTTGGACGAGCAGAATCTCTATGTATTCCGGGGACTCCGTCCGGAATTTAGAGCTATAGCTGCGTCTCTCACTGTTTCAGGTACTTCAGTGTCCCTCCCACAATTATCCGACTATTTGCAGGCTCAAGAATTCATCCTCTCCGATGAATACCCCGTGGTAGCTGATGGCGGCAATGGCAGGTCACACACGGCCATGTATGCTGGTTGCGGCCGTGGATCGAACAACGATGGTGGCCGGCATGGATCAAATCAGTAGTGGCGTGGAGGTCGTGGTGGACGCGCCGGCCAAGGACGAGGTGACCGCTGCGGCCGTGGTGCGCCGAGATGCCAAATCTGTCGTTCACACGGGCGCACGGCCGTCTTTTGTTACAAGCGTTACACGACTCAGCCGCCGGCCCAAGCTCATGTTGCGACCTCCGGCGAAGTTATAACGGCGAATGCGGCGAGTCCGGCAGAAGGCTGGTATCCGGATACTGGAGCTACATCGCATGCCACACCCAACGCCGGAATGTTTACTCACTCCGACGAATACAGTGGTCCCGACGTGCTGCGAGTCAGTAACGGTGCAGGTTTGGTTATTTCACGAGTCGGTCGTGCATCCATCCCTTCTGTGTCTAAATCTTTATGTCTATCTAATGTGTTGCATGTCCCGAGTTTGTCTGTACCACACTTATCCGTTCATAAATTCACTAATGAAAACAATGTTTACTTTGAATTTCATAACAATTGTTTTATTGTGAAGGATTCCAAAACCAGGGCAGTTCTACTTAAGGGACCCACCTCGGGTGGCTTGTACAAACTTCCGATGTCACAATCCCACTTCGTGTTCGTCAGGTCCAGCACTACTCCCGCGGTGTGGCATCGCAGGCTAGGTCACCCGCACGGTCTTGTCCTAAATCGAGTTCTCCAAAGTTGTCCGATCGAGCCAAATAAAGCCAAATCGCCGGGGTCATGCACGGCTTGTCACCTTGGCAAGTCTTCGCGGTTTAAGTTAGATAGGGTTGAAAATTCTAGCAATAATGTTCTAGATTTATTATATACCGATATCTGAAGACCTGCCCCTGTAATTTTAGCTAGTGGTTTTCGATACTTTCTGCTATTTGTAGATGACTATTCACGCTTCTGTTAGTTTTATCCGTTACGGGTAAAATCGGACATATATAAAATATTTGAGTCGTTTCGTGTGTTGATAGAGCGCCAATTTTCGCGTTCTATCAAATCTATACAGTCAGATTTAAGGGGTGAATACCGAAAATTACACACCATATTCCAATCACTTGGTATAAATCACCGGTAATCTTGTGACTATACACATGAACAAAACGACAGAGTTGAGCGCCGGAACAGACATATCGTTGAAACCGGCTTAGCTCTTCTCGCTGAAGGCTCAGTACCCCTTCAATATTGGGACTATGCCTTTGAAACTGCCACTTGCTTAATCAATTATCTACCAACATCAGTCTTGAACTTTGAAAGCTCATACTCTCGTCTACATAAAATATCACCACCATACACGTTCCTACGAATCTTCGAGTGTCGGTATTACCCTTATTTTCGGCAATACAATCGGCACAAGATAGAGTACCACTCAGCTCCTGTGTCTTCTTAGGTTACCATACGTCCTTTAGGGGATACAGATGCATGGATCTGATAAGTTGAAAAACCTATATATGTCGCCATGTCCGGTTTGACGAGTCTGTTTTCCCGTTTTACACAGGACATCCATCACAGGCTACACCGCCACCGGCCGTGCCATGGGCAGCCGGGTCCATAATACCACGGCTCACACAAGCGGCTACACAACTAAATCCAGGTCCAGTAACCTCAGGGTCCAAACCCACTCCGCTGGCACAAGACCCAGCGCCCCTGGCTTTTGAAGGTCCCGCACCAGCTAGGACCCAAAATGTGACAACCGGTGTTCAACCACAGGGAACGGGGGTATGTCATGCGCCTCCGTCACATGACTCGAGTCACAAATGAGCGCTATCATGCCTTAAGTGCAACTACTGATCCGACTTGCTACTCACAGGCTGTAGGGCATCCACAGTGGCGTGAGGCCATGGACTAGGAGTTCAATGCACTTCTTCACAACAATACTTGGCATCTCGTTCCACCAGAACCAGCACCGTTGATGGTTCGGTAGAACGCTATAAAGCGCTCCATGTTGCTAAGGGCTTCAAACAGGTAGTAGGCGAGAATTTTTTCGACACATTTAGTCCAGTTGTCAAACCGACTACGGTCCGAATGCTCTTTTCTCTTGCCGTGTCAAACAGCTGGACTCTGCGCCAGTTATATGTACACAATATTTTCCTTAATGGCCACTTGGCAGAGACAGTATACATGAAACAACCACCAGGATATGAAGACCCGTCACATCCTGGTCACGTCTGCCATCTTCAACGCTCTCTGTATGGTCTCAAACAAGCCCCTCGGGCTTGGTTTAAAAGACTTCATGATTTTTTACTGTTTGCAAGGTTCTCACCATCTAAAACAGATATCTCGCTATTTCACTATACCTCTGGCTCTTCACGGGTGTTCCTGCTCGTTTATGTCGACGACATCATTATGATGAGAAACAATGCAACTCTAGTCAATACTTTTCTCCATCGCCTAGCTTCAGCTTTCAAAATTCGAGACCTTGGCAAATCGGCGTTCTTATTGGGCAATGAAACAATTGCGGTAGAGAACGACTTAGTACTCTCACAGCGGCGCTACATGACTGACTTGCTAAATCAGTCCGGGATGGTGGACTGCAAACCACTCACCACACCAGCTGCTATTACACAAGCGGTAACTCCTTCAGTGCAACCGTGTGAGAATCCGACACAATGCCACCGCATAGTAGGCGCCCTGTAATACTTGACTATGACTTGGCCGGACCTCTGTTATGCGATCAATCGCCTCTGCCAGTTTATGCACTCTCCGACTGTTGACCACTAGAGCCTGGTGAAACGTGTGTTACAGTACATCAAAGGAACTCTCGACTATGGCTTACGTCTCTCCGCTTCTTCCTCCGCTGCCATTTATGCCTTTTCCAACTCCGACTGGGCTGGTTGTCCGATTGACAGGAAGAGCACGAGTGGGTACTATTTTCTTAGGCTCCAACCTTATTTCTTGGCTCTCTAGGAAGCAGAGCATCGTGGCTCGTTCGTCTACTAAGGCTGAGTATAAAGCGATGGTTGATGTGTCGGCAGAAATAACATGGGTCGTCTCATTACTGCATGAACTTGGGTTACACTCCGGCCAGCCGTCGACCTTATGGTGTGACAATCTAGGGGCGACGTATCTTTGCGCCAATCCAGTTTTTCACGCAAGGACTAAACATGTTGAAATCGACTATCATTTTGTTCGGGACAAGGTTGCCTCTAGAGACTTCGTGGTCAACTTTGTATCTACCAAGGACCAGCTAGCGGATATATTCACCAAGTCGTTGCCAGGGCCGAGGTTTGCAGCTCTCTGAGACAAGCTCAAAGTTGTGGCCCATCAACCTTGTGCTTAAGGGGGTGTGTTAATAAGTGTTATTATTTCATGTTATATTTGTTGTATACTATAGTTAATAATTATGTGGTGTTAGTTTAGTTGACTAAGGCTAGTCTATTAGTTAGGAGAATTTAGCATTTCCTATCTGTTATACTACTGTAATCTCTATTAGTTGTAACAGAATTGAATTACTATCTTCAATTGTCCCGACGCAGTGTGCGACTGGGGGAAATGGGGGAGCTCAATGAGCGCCCCTGCTTTTGTCTTTGTTTTTTGGTTTTTTTGGCTTGTTTGCTCTGTGTTTTTGGTTTACGTTTCTTTTTGTTGTGGATTGTATCTTCTGGAATTGTCAGGGTGCGGGTGGAAAGTCGTTCCTTCGCACCCTTAAACAACTCCCCCAGATGTACAAACCTTGCATCTTGGGTCTTTTCGAACCCAAGGTTTCAGGTGCCCAAACTAATGCTATATGTATGAAGCTTGATTTCACAGATTGGATTCGAGTAGAAGCTATTGGCTTTAGTAGGGGTATCTGGGTCTTTTGGTCACGATCTTATTCACCCACCCCCAATTCATTCTTATGCCTAAAGGAAAGGCGATCAACCTCCCTGCTTTCTAACCCCAATTTATGGAAACCCGGCACACTACCTATGCCGGCGACTTTGGAAGGATCTTCGTCAAACGGAACGAGGCATAGTGGGGCCTTGGCTCGTAGCCGAGGATTTCAACTCAGTCCTAAACGGAGACGAGACAAGAAACTATAGCTCGTTCTCAACACACTGAAGTGCAGATTTTGTGAATTGGACCCAGGAGGAGGGGCTCATCTGTAACACCCCCTTTTTCTTAACCTTGATTATCAAACTAAACTTTAAAGATAAACTAAAGCAGCGGAAAATAAACTTAATTAGCATCTTAAAGGAGTGTCACCGCCACAATCACCCTCCAAGGTGATTGCACAGGCTAAGGGTAGAACTAAAAACATACAAGTCATACTATCAACCGAAATACTAGGGGAATAAAACCCCGGTGTCCAGCACCATCAAAATGACAAATTACTACAACCATTAAATCAGAAGAGTTTAGACTACAAGCTATCTAGCTACACTAGTCTAACTCGTGCTCTCAACTTTACGAATTGGGCACAGAAAAATAAAAACTAAATAAATAAAAATAAAAATAAAATAATAACGAACCTAACAACCTAAAAAAAAATTGAAAAGAAAAATTTAAAGAAAACAGTTTAATAAATTGTCTCCGGCAACGGCGCCAAAAACTTGATTGCTATAATCTGCAAGCGCACAGAGTCAACCAAAGTATAAATTCCTGGAGTATTCCAGGGTCGATCCCACGAAGAACACTATTAACTGTTATCTTAAATAATCAATTTGTTGATTAGGAAAAAAACGCAAATAATTAGAATTAATATAATTAAAAAGAATATTTATGAAATTAAAACAAAGGGAAATTCCAATTGATAGAAGACTAAGGATTTGGGTTCACCTATTAGACAATTAACTAACTCTCCTAAGTATTAATTCTTATGACTATAGTGATGATTGCTTCAAATATATCCTAATACTCCGTCGAGCTAATAGGTTGTATCCAATTAACTGTGATCATCCGTCGATATCTCACCAACATTAATTAAACCCATTAGCAACAATCAAATATCACCACAAATACCTAAAGCTATGTCTAGTTTAGGTCAATTGTGTTTATCTTACGAGTTCTAGGTTCATAATTCACCTGTCAGTTCTTCTTATGAACCCTAATATTAGAACTATGCAATGGCCAGTCACACAATTCACAATTAAAATGCGTAAAATAAATATAATCAAATTCAATAATTAAACTGAAATTGGAAGAATCAACACATGAAAAAAAAGTCAATTAATCTAATTAAGGCTAATCCAAATCCCTAATTAAAGTTCTAGCCAAGAATCATATTTGAATGTATAAATTGTTCAATAAATAGTATTCTGAAAATTTGAACAAGAATAAAAATAGAAATGAAAGAAAGTAATTCAAGCCTAAGAAGAAGGTAGCCGCGATTGAAGCTCAAGAATTCTGGCGATGGAATCTTGAAAAATCCCTTGCTTCCTCGCTGAAATCTCATCGCCGACCACACTACTGCAGCTCCCTGGCTTTCGTTTTATTCTCTCCTTCCTCCCTCTTTTTTTCCTTTTCCGTTTCGTACTTAATCTGCCGACTCAACCAACAAAAGCCAAATCCCTAAAACCTTTTTAATCTCTTCCCCTTTCTCTTTCTCTGCTACGCCAATCCCTAAAGACACAAAACAAATTAAGTTAAAATAAAATAATTATAAACTAATGGCATAATAACTCAATTAAATTTAAATATTAAAACACTTATTAAAAATAGAATGAATAAAACTAACAAATAAATTTAATAATATAGATAAGATAAAACTCTTCTTTATATATTAATAAAAATGCAACATTAGCCTAATATTTATTAAAACTCATCTAAACTAGTAACATATACTAAATATAATATTTATAATATAATTAACCCTAAAACTTAATTTATTTATGCAAATCACTAACTTAAATTACTCTAAATAATGCCTAGAAATTAAGCTTATCAAACTTCCCCACACTCAAGGTTTTGCTTGTCCCCAAGCAAACTTATTCAGTGAAATCAAACTACCAACCATAACCATGTCAACTAGGCATTCAATTCAAGGAGATGGTAAACACATAATACTTCATGAGAGTTCAAAGTCATACGCACACAAGACAATAGAGAATAGTAGTCCTCACGGTTATTCACTCAATCTCTCACAAATATATGTATAAGAAAGGTACACACCATCCTCTATTGAGAGTGCACTTGGCATAGGCTTGCTTGTCCACCAAAACTCCACTACCAAAATTATATGAAAAACACGAGTCAAAAGGTCTTTATTTCTGGGTTGTAATGGGGCCAAGGGTATGTGGTTTAAGAAAGAAAGGATATAAGGAAATACAAATAAAGTCCAAGGGATCAGTAGAGTCATAATTTCACCATATCAAGAGCACGAACTCGTATTCTACCCATACAATGAACTCTATTAAAACAAGCTATCACTGTTTCATTCCCCCTCATCCTTTTCACTAATAAACAACTTTCAAAACCTCCATCTCTTTTTCATCTTTTTTTCCATTTTCATTTTTTCCTTTTTTTTCATTTGTTTTCTGTTTTTTTCTCTTTTTTCCTCTTGTTTTTTTCTGGTAAAACCGAATAAATACCTCATCATTTCCACATAACCCTCAATAGTACTCTTCCTATAATCTTCAAATTTCTATCATGCCTTCATTGCTCACAAATCATTTTAAGAATAAAATGAGCACAAAAGTTTGGGCTAACAAGATTTTTCAACCCACAAAATAGAACATATCATTTTGTTCATTTTTTTTTCATTTTCACCCCCTTTGATCACAAACAATTCTTCACTCAAAGAAAATCAATTGTACAATCACCTTTCAACTCCAATCTCACCCATACTTCATCACTTTTGGTCATCTTGCACAGATAAATGAAATAATGACTTCTACTGACTCAAGGACGGGTTAAAAGGTTTCTTTTTATGAGCTAAGGTTCTTTGGAATTGGCTAATGAAGAAAAATGTCTTATATATTTTAAAGCTCAAAAATGGTTCACTAGGGGAAAATTAAAATGTATAAGGATGTGGTCATTTTTAAGGCTATAAGGCTAAATCCTAATGCCTAAATCATTCTCGTGTCAACATATAACATGTAGCTCTGAAATGGTATGAAGCAAGTTCTAGAAGTAACACAATCAAAGAGGGCAAATAAACACTCAAAATGAAAATAAGTTGCAGTGGGCAACCTCTAGGCTCAACAGCTCACGGTGTGACAGAATTCGACTACCAACTCTATGCAAGCATACATATAGCCAAACACATTCATTGATATTATGCACTCCCAGAACACTAGAACCTATCTCCCAATCAACATAGTCATTAGATGGTATTTTTTTCCTACTTTATTTTGCTAAGAAATTGCAGAAAAATGAAGGAAATGACGCTGAAAATCCCATAAAATGCAGAAAATTAGTGCAGAAAATGTAGAAAGAAAAATGCAGAATTTTACTGTAGCAAAATGCAGAAAAATAGAGAAAATGCAGAAAATGTTGCAGAAAATTGCAGGAAAAAATGCAGAATTTTTTTTTGATATTGCCTATTTTGCATAAAACTTGCAGAAAATATCCCCTAATCTTACTTTCCCTTCCCCACACTCAAACTCAACATTGTCCCCAATGTTAAATATAAAAGCAAGTATGAGAAAATGAAATAAACAGGAAACTTCCTTGTTAGTTGCCAGTTTCTTCCGGGCTGCCTTTTGGTGAAGCAACCATGAATGGTCTATTTTTATCTCTTTACATCTCTATGGCCTCATACGAACAAACTTTAGTGACCATGGAAGGACCAAACCATCTAGACTTCAATTTCTCTAGAAAAAGCTTAAGACAAGAACTAGACAACAAAGCTTCTTGCCCTACATTGAATTCTCTCCAAAAATTATTTTTGTCATGCCAAGCTTTAGTCAATGTTCTCCACAATCTCTCTTCTTTTGCATGAAGTAAATGAGCATAAGAAAACATAAGAAAAGTATCATAGTCACTCAAAAATTCGTATTTGAACCGCAATGAAGGTGGTTTAAGTTCAAGTTGATGTTGTGTTTCACTAGGTGAATGCTTAACAAATTCTTCTTCTGAAGGTTTCTCAATAACATCAACAAAAAGACATGATTCATCAAAAGTTGGTAATTTTACAGCTTTAGAGATAGAGAATTCCTCTTTTTCTGTACCTACTCTAAAAATCAATTTCCCTAAAGGCATATCAATTAATACTCCTCCTGTCAACAAAAATGGCCTACCAAGTATAAGAGTTGTATCTGTGTCATTAGCCATATCAAGAATTAGAAAATCAGCAGGAAAATAAAATTTACCAACTTTTACCAATATATCCTCCACTACTCCAAGCGGGTACTTGACTGATCTATCAGCAAGTTGAAGAGAGATTGTTGTTGGCTTCATTTCAGCTATTTCCAACTTCTTGAAAAGAGTTAAAGGCATAAGGTTAATACTGGCACCTAAATCACATAATCATTTATCAATGACAGTATTACCAATAGTGCAAGAAATAGAAAAACTTCCTGGATCCATTAGCTTAGGAGGTAATTTGCTTTGTAGAATAGCACTACACTCCTCATTTAGGTGCACAGTAGCAAACTCTTCCAATTTCTTTTTATTAGATACAATTTCCTTAATGTACTTGGCATAAGATGGCATATTGGCAAGTGCTTCTGCAAAAGGAATATTAATTTGCAATTTTTTAAAAACCTCTAAAAATCTTTTAAAGTTATTGTCCTGGTTCCTCTTTTGCAACCTCTGTGGATATGGAATGGGAGGTACATAAGGTTTTACTGTAGAGAAAGTAAGGTTTTGATCACTAGAATTCTCTTTAGGCACTTGCTCCTCTTCTTTATCACTCTCTTTCTCAACCCTCGTGGGTTCATTTTCTTTCATAATTTCATTCAATATCTTACCACTTCTCAACGTGACAGCCATAGCTCCTTCCCTAGGGTTTATTTCAGTGGTACTAGGAAACTTACCTCGATCTTTTTCTGCAACCAATTTAGCCAACTGACCTACTTGCACTTCGAAATTATGAATGGATGCTTGGTTGGACTGTGCAACCTTATCAATCTTTGCATCCATTTTCTTCATCATCGTGTCCTGGCTAGCCATGTATTGCATAAACATCTCCTCCAATTGAGGCTTTTTCTCCTGAGCAGGCTTTTTCTCCTGAGCAGGAAGTTGAGACTGTTGTGGTGCAGGTGGCTGCTGGAAAAGTCTGTATTGCTGCTGCTGGAATCCTGATGGTCCTTGTTGCTGGAATCCGAGTGGTCCCATTGGTCTTGCATTACCTTGATCACTCCATGAGAAGTTAGGGTGGTTTCACCAACCTGGATTATATGAATTAGAAAATGGATCATTTCTTGGTGGTTGCCTACCCATGTTGGATCCCATGTAATTAGCTTCCTCATAAGATGATTGTGATGACTCTGCATTCATACAAATAGAAGAATTATGACCATATGCATTGCAATAAATACAAAATTCTCTATTCGAACTATCACGAGTCATCAACAAGTTAATCTGTTTAGTCAATTCAGCCATTTGTGTTGTCAACTCAGATTGTGTGCTAATTTCATGCACAGCAGTCCTTCGACCTCTCACTGCCTTTTGTCGAGAATTAGTAGCTAAGCTCTCATAGATAGCTTCTAATCATCACTATTTTTATCACTGTGTATCCACCTGCAGCAGTATCTACAAGAGACTGACAATTAGGAGTTAAACCATCATAAAAGAATTGTGTCAACAATAACAATGGGAATTGATGGTGTGGACATTGTGTCAAAAGAAATTTAAAACGATCCCATGCTTCATGAAATAACTCAGCCTCTCTTTGAGTGAAAGTGCATATCCTACTCCTATAGTCCATTGTCTTTTGAGATGAATAATATTTAAACATGAAAGCATTGTAAACATCATCCCAAGCTCTTAAAGAACCCTCTGGTAAATTTAACAACCACTGCCTAGCATCACCCCTCATGCAATATGGAAAACATTTCATTCTAAGCTCTTCCTCAGATAAATTATTCAAAGGTAAAATTTGTACCGTACTATAGAGCTCTCGCATGAAACCCAAAGCATCTTCACTTCCCAAACCGTTAAAGGTCAGGAGCATATTCAGATGGAAAGTCTTGAGTTCCTAATTTCTAGCTGCATCAGATAATTGAATGCAAGAAGGGTTAGCAGCTATTACCGGTCTTTGGATGTCTCGAAGACGTGGTTGAGCTATTTGATTTTGAGGAAGTGGAACTATTGGTGGTACGGGGTCATCCAGTTGACCCACTCTATTATTTTCAGCCATTTCAAGCCGCCTTCGTACCCTGTTTTTTTCTACAAGTACGCTAAATTTCAAGATCAATAGGAAATAATTCCGCGTTTTTATGCCTTAGTGAACGCCTTAAGTTCATAAACAAACGAAATAAAAACAGAAAAATAAAAACTAAATAAATAAAAATAAAATAATAACGAACCTAACAACCTAAAAAAAAATTGAAAAGAAAAATTTAAAGAAAACAGTTTAATAAATTGTCTCCGGCAACGGCGCCAAAAACTTGATTGCTATAATCTGCAAGCGCACAGAGTCAATCAGAGTATAAATTCCTGGAGTATTCCAGGGTCGATCCCACGAAGAACACTATTAACTGTTATCTTAAATAATCAATTTGTTGATTAGGAAAAAAACGCAAATAATTAGAATTAATATAATTAAAAAGAATATTTATGAAATTAAAACAAAGGGAAATTCCAATTGATAGAAGACTAAGGATTTGGGGTTCACCTATTAGACAATTAACTAACTCTCCTAAGTATTAAGTCTTATGACTATAGTGATGATTGCTTCAAATATATCCTAATACTCCGTCGAGCTAATAGGTTGTATCCAATTAACTGTGATCATCCGTCGATATCTCACCAACATTAATTAAACCCATTAAGCAACAATCAAATATCACCACAAATACCTAAAGCTATGTCTAGTTTAGGTCAATTGTGTTTATCTTACGAGTTCTAGGTTCATAATTCACCTGTCAGTTCTTCTTATGAACCCTAATATTAGAACTATGCAATGGCCAATCACACAATTCACAATTAAAATGCATAAAATAAATATAATCAAATTCAATAATTAAACTGAAATTGGAAGAATCAACACATGAAAAAAAAAAGTCAATTAATCTAATCAAGGCTAATCCAAATCCCTAATTAAAGTTCTAGCCAAGAATCATATTTGAATGTATAAATTGTTCAATAAATAGTATTCTGAAAATTTGAACAAGAATAAAAATAGAGATGAAAGAAAGTAATTCAAGCATAAGAAGAAGGTAGCCGCGATTGAAGCTCAAGAATTCTGGCGATGGAATCTTGAAAAATCCCTTGCTTCCTCGCTGAAATCTCCTCGCCGACCACACTACTGCAGCTCCCTGGCTTTCGTTTTATTCTCTCCTTCCTCCCCCTTTTTTTCCTTTTCCGTTTCGTACTTAATTTGCCGACTCAACCAACAAAAGCCAAATCCCTAAAACCTTTTTAATCTCTTCCCCTTTCTCTTTCTCTGCTACGCCAATCCCTAAAGACACAAAACAAATTAAGTTAAAATAAAATAATTATAAACTAATGGCATAATAACTCAATTAAATTTAAATATTAAAACACTTATTAAAAATAGAATGAATAAAACTAACAAATAAATTTAATAATATAGATAAGATAAAACTCTTCTTTATATATTAATAAAAATGCAACATTAGCCTAATATTTATTAAAACTCATCTAAACTAGTCTAAACTAGTAACATATACTAAATATAATATTTATAATATAATTAACCCTAAAACTTAATTTAATTATGCAAATCACTAACTTAAATTACTCTAAATAATGCCTAGATATTAAGCTTATCAACATACTTGGCATTCACTTATAGACAAAGGATCATATGAGGTCATGTTTATACATGTGGTCTATGGTCAAAATCTGATCTTTGATTTTGGTTGGATTTATGGCTCTTATTTTTTGGTTTATTTTTGGATTTATTTTTTCCATTTTTCACGCCATCTTGATCTAGGGTCTCATTAGTCTTTGCATTTTTGTTTCCTTTCTTTGTTTTTTTTTTTCGGCTGATTTGTCATAGTTTTAGGGATATTAAATTTGGTAATTAAAGATATTCTTCATTCATCTTTATATACTGCCTCTTTTTTCATACTGCCTCGTTCCTGTTCTACATTTTTGTTTGGTATTCAAATAATGGATGTGTATTTGTTTTTGGTTACATTCCCCTGTTGTGCACTGTATACTCCTTGTCGCGCTAATTGTTTCTGTTCTTAAATTCACGTAGATAACATTTTCAATTTTGTTGTACAGTGTATCATTTTTATTTTTTTTTATTTTGTAATTATGGTGTATACTAACCAGGAAGTTCTCTTTGTTTTTTATGTTTTTAACGTTCTGGTTTGTGTGGTGTTACCAGTGTGTTTTCTCTGTGGTGGGTGTGTTTGATACGTAATGTGCATGTTTGGACTTATTAATTGTGCACTCAATGTGCATGTCTAGACTTATTATTTGTCCACATAGGGATTTTGCACTTCGAACGATTAGCACTTGTCATTTGTACATTGTTGCACAAGTGCTTCATGATCTAATAACTATTTAGCCGACCTTTGTTCAGTTTAAATTGCACGTTACATTGCGTATTAACGAATAACGTCGGTGCACAAACCGTTTATGTGATGTATGTCGTAATTGCACTCAGAACTATACCATTGATGCACACAATGTATATATTGAATATCCATTCCCCGTTAACATATTTTAAATATGTGGGGATTCGAATATGTATCTGTAATCCTACAACTGTTTAAGCATAACTATATTCATGCATATTCAAATGGCTAAAAATAAACCAGCATGCTAAAGCACGATTAAACATTCTGTTAAAGTTTAACAAAAACATCAATTCCTTGCACAAATTAATTGTCTAGTACCACTTTCATCTTAATGTCATAAAAAACTATTGTACAAACTGGTTTCAAATCTCCTTACTCACTTGTGTCTTCATCCAACGTATTCATTGCAATCATTTTCATCTTCTATGGTAACCAACTAATCTACATTTGTTGCGTGAAATCTCCATTCTTGAAAATTGGTGAGCTTTCAAGGTTTTTACCGTGTTGCTCATTGCACTCGCTCAGTAGGATGCCCTTCATGTATTTCATCCTTAATGTTGCTATTATGGTCCTATCTCCTTTGTTGAGTCCATAGTCCCAACTCCTAGCTGGCTCTCCTATGAAGCACTCCATGTGCCTCATTGCATATACTCCACTATCCGGATATTCTTTGGGATCCCTCCAGCGCATTTGCATTCGTTTTGGTTCCATATGTAGGATGTCAGCTGCTCTTTTTTGGTCTTTCATATCATCTACAAAGCATCCCAGCATGTCTTTCTGCGTACATAACATTTTTGCGGTTAGTAACTCATGTCCTATCACATTCTTGCATTATGTTTAACAGTACCTTGAAGTATTGACAGTCTCTTCATTGCACATTAAAAAGTATCATAAATGCAACATATTTTAAAAAGCAGCTGCTCATATACATTATTCACGGTTGCACTCTTATATCTCACATCTTCCCTGTTTAAACAAATCTATATGGCCACCAACATTCACTGTATTTACCATCACTCACGCATTTTATTAAATCAAACACATGCACATATCCTTTATTTATATTTCACATTCTAACCCTACTACTTTCTCAAACGTATAATGAGAGGTTCTTACCAAATATTCAGGGATCTTGTTATATATTTCATCTTTTGTTCCTATTGAGGAATTATCAATAATCTGCATTTTCCCCCGCCCTTCACATCTACGGAAATGATAAAGTAGTGCGCCTTGTTTAGTATGGGGAAAAGGAACTGCATTGCAAATTTAACTCAAATGCTTAGCAAGTATGTTTTTGAATCAGTTCACATACAAATTTAACACATCCTAACTGCATTTCTTTGAAGGGATCCAAACTTTTTCATGGGTTCAACTAAATGCTTTGCCACAAGACGTGTCTCGAATTTTGGAAACCTTGCCTCTTCTTCAGGTAGTAGTTCGTATTCTAAGCACTCATTTACTTGGTGTTTTTCTGGTTGTCGCGCTGTCACCGGTGGACTTACAAAGTCATCATCGGTGTTGGGGTCATTTACATGCGGTTCCTACACACCTTTGTGGTTTTCAGCTTCTTCTCTGCATAAATAATTTCTTTTACATATTAGCGAGCCTTTCATTCAA